TTTTTGTCTCTTTACTAAAATTTTTTATACAAGGGCTCTACCTGCTAGTTATCTTGTATAATATCACTTTTAGCTTGTATGTTAAATATATAAAGGAGTCCTCGAGAGAAAGCAGTTGACCTTTATAAAAACCATTGTATTGTAAAAGAAACTTCTTCATCTTCCTCAATAAATTTTTTGTTTTTTGCTTTTTCGAATTTTTTTGGGAAAAAGGATCATCAGAAAGAGTTGAACTTTGTATGATTTTTTTTTCTTTTTAATTCTTTATATATTACATTTATTATATTTATTATATTTATTATAATTTATACATATTTTTATTTTTATAACTTACTGCAGCATGATATAAGTTGACTATTGTCTTTATCTTACTAGGTTCTAAAAATAGCTATTTACAAACTTTAATATTATACCAATTAAACTAATAAGCTACAATTATCATTAACTTACTATTATGGTAGTATAGTCTATTATCCGAAATTACTCTTATCTATTTCAGTTTCTTTTTTATATTGTTAAACATAGCTTTAAAACAAGATACTGTAAACCAAGCATCTTGTTTTGTATTAGTAGACTAATAATCATAAGTACTGATATTTAAACTTACACTATTATCTTCTTTAGTTATTACTAAGATTGTATATAATGTCTACTTTCTTTTAACAAAAAACTCTTGCTTTGTTTCTTTTGCTGTTTTTAGAAGAATTTGTATCTTATAATCTGTGATTATAATAGCACCATCTGAATTAAGACTTGCTAATGATGCTTTGTATTGTGCATTCAAAAAATGCTTTCTAGCATGATATACAAGGAAGTATTTTGATTTTTTTTTTGCATTTCAAATAATTTTTTTTTTTTTTTTTTTAAAGTGTGGTCTTTCCTTTAGCTCTTTATTGATAATTAAAAAATTCTTATTTTATATGTATTTATTAACTATTCTAAGAGAGGTAGAAGTAAGAGCTAGTTTACTCTTGGTCTATGCTTTGCTAGTATAGCTATTAGACCTCTAGTCTTTGTCGATTATATATAGAGGTGCTGTATTTTTTTCTATATAATTATTTATCCAATATAATACTTCTACTTGATAATTATTTGTATTTCTTCTTATTAGTTGTAGTTCTAAAGTATCGTATTCTAATAGTTCTGAATATATATATGTCTGACTAAGAATTTAAATATTATCATGTATTTTCACAAGAATATTATAATTGAGTTTTGGTATCCATTTAAGTTGTGTCGAGATGTTGTTAGTTGGTATAAATATTTCTTGAGTAATATAGCCTAGTAGGATACCTTTTATTGTGTGTGTATATATGAATTTGTTAATAAAGCTATTTTAGTTATTTATTATTAATTCCTTCATATCTGCTAGATAGTTCAAAGCTTTTGTAATAATTTGTTCTAAGGTGTGAAAGTTATATCTACAAGTAAGTAGATAAACTGTTGTTTCAGATTCTATTCCATATCTCGAGCATATATAGTTATGTTTTTTCGAATTTCTGTAATATAGTTTTAGATAGTTTAGAAGCTTATCTGCTAAAATCTTTATCTTAAAATTTTTTATTTTTGAGTTTCTAGAATTTGTGTAGAGTATCATAAGTAGATTATCAATCATAAGATACTGTAATATAAGTTTCTAATTTACAGATACTATTTTCTTCTGTTGTATATTTTGATTTTGGTTATACTATTAGATACTATTAGTAGCTGCTATAATTTGTTACACTGTTTTCTAATTGTTGTTATCATATTGTGACTACTGAGACATATTGTATATATATTGCGATTGTAATTTTGTGAGAGATAATTTGCATGAATATAATAAATTAGTAGTTGTAATAAGATTAGCTCCTTATCGATACTGAATGAAACTTGTATTTTGCTAAGAAGAGTATTTAGTATAATTAAATATGAGCTAAAATTAAGTTTGTAGATTCTAGGTAGCTCATATCTATGAAATTGTATATATTTGAGCATATTTAATATTGTAGCTGAATTGGTTATCAGATCTAATATATTTAGCTTGTCATATGTTGTCAGGATATATATCAGTATTGTAAGAGCTGTATGTAGTTGCAATAGCTAGTTTTTATTTGTAAGGTGCTATGCTATTTGGTACATATC